ATTGATATCAGGTGAGGTAGGGATACAGGGAGACCCTGTTTCAAAAAAAAATTTTCTTTTAAGAAAGTGGTGCAGGACAAGCACTGGACTCACTGAAAAAAGACAAGCAGTGCTGTCCTCAGGAAAGAGACAACACAACAGACGAACCTAGAAGTGATTTCAACTGTTACTTGCTTTCAGAACTTTAAAAATATTTAGCAGAAAATTTCTCTCTATATATTTAGTTCTTTTAATAATAGCTATGTTAAATCAAGAATGAAAATGGAACTGTAATTCATGGGTGACAATATTATCTGAAACTGAGTTAGTGTATTTATCATGGGACAAAAATGAAGGAGGTTCAATACACCTAAATAAGGAAACATAAGATAAAAAAAAATAGTATGAAAATGTTCTTTCCTGCTATGAGAATTCCTTAATTTCCTATAGTTTCTAACAGAGTTCCACACAGAGTTTACAACCTGCAAAGTTGGATCAAAGAAAGAACGAATAAGGAATTCTAGAGAAAGTTATTCTCACCCACTGAGATCATGGGACAAAAATGAAGGAGGTTCAATACACCTAAATAAGGAAACATAAGATAAAAAAAAATAGTATGAAAATGTTCTTTCCTGCTATGAGAATTCCTTAATTTCCTATAGTTTCTAACAGAGTTCCACACAGAGTTTACAACCTGCAAAGTTGGATCAAAGAAAGAACGAATAAGGAATTCTAGAGAAAGTTATTCTCACCCACTGAGACAAGGTTACTGTAATTATCCAACATCACATCAATGTACAAGGCCCTCTGAGCAGAGTTCAGGCATTGCCACTCCTCCTCAGAGAAGTTAACAGTCACATCCCTGAATGTCATCATGGCCTGAAATAAAAAATGTCACTTTTACCATGTGCCACTGGGCAGACTGCTTTCCTGAATACATGGAGATGTAAGGAACTTGGGGAAACATTCTGATGTGATGAGTCATCTGAATTATGGAGAAAGATTCTTTCCAGTATAGTCACATTCTATAATATATTTTGTTTTCTAAATGTTTTGGAAATTTTATTTATTTTTATGTGTCTGAGTGTTTTTCCTGCAGGGATATAAGTGCACCCATATCATGCAATGCCCGCCAAGGACCATATTGCTGCTTGGAAGTAAACACGGGTCCCCTGCTAGAGAAGCCAAAGCTCTTAACTACCGAATCATCTCTCTATCCCCATCTATCATGAATGCTCTAACTCTGTGGAAACAAGATGAAATGATACTCTTATAATCATAATACATGATATATTAGAGTATAAGATATAAATTCAGGATCTGAACATAGTAATCTACATTTGCTGAGTTTGGTTCACATGGGGTCATAGCGTATGTGGAAAGTTATCAAGGAGAAATATTGTGCTTTCAAATGCTAATGTCATTAACTATAGAGCTAGTTAAAATATAAATTCTGAATCAATCTGATCTATTGTTAGGCCTTACAAGAATATATTCTATCAGTATCACTTAAGATGATAAGGCGCTAGGTAAAATGCCACACTGTTTGAATAGAAATGAAGTAGAAAAAAGATCAGAGACTTGATTCTTTCACAGTAACAAGGAGTAACAATTGTACCTAGTACCAATTTTCCAACCTTAACACATAATATCAAGTAGTCTTTGATACTTTAATGAGAATATGTTAGCCGTTATGAAGTAAATGGAAAAATCAACATTAGCACTGATGATATAATCTGAAGTTTTCTGAAAGTATGCACAACCCAGCACAGGAAGTAAAAATTTTGGGAAGTTCCAGAAATTGTTGTGTTGATCAAGTGTTCTAAAAACATTAAGGTAAATCCAAAGACACATCAAATGATGTTTAAATTCCATATAAAAACAGATGCATAAATGTACAAAGTAGAGAGAGGAGAATGATGGACTGTAAGTAAAATAGATATATTAAATTGTGTGCTATTATTTTCATTCATTGCTATTTAAATACAATATTGCTCAAAAGAATGAGTTCTTAGAAACATAATAAACTTTCTCTCTTATAGAACAGCATTGATCTTAAGCAAGTAATGATGTTGAAGCAGTAATTGCTGTCCTCTAAACAGTCTAGGACTGAACAGATTTTGTTCTGAATTCTAAAAGTCCTTTGGACAAAAAAAAATTTCTTATCCTACAATACAACTATAATATAAAACACAAAGAACAGTTTGATATGAAACTCATTATATAAATGTAGCTTCAACATAATAGCAACAGTATGTAAGAAAATGCAAATACATATGAAGGAAAATACAGACCAGTAGGCTAGGTGGATAA